AAAGAACGAATTTCGCCCAGCTAGGCACTCTCGATCGGGTTGACGAGCTAGCTAAGCTCCGCTTCTGCGCGACCTGGGCACTGGGGGGAATGCAGATTGGATGTTGGGTTTGTTTTCTTTTGTCAACATCCAATCTGCGTTTGCTCTAGTCGTTGACGTCACTTTTTATTTATTTATTTATGCAAATACCTACATCGCCCAGGGGGCATTATTGTAGGGGGGTTACATGAAAGAAAATACATGACAAACAAGTGAAATAACAAGAAAGCCTAAAATAGCATAGAAGTTCCAGATACCTATTGGAAACAAAAGTTTTGTAAAACTGAGGAAAACATGTTTTCAGGAGAATTGACAATTGAACTGTCCAGACGGTACCACTCAAAAATAGTATGGGGGAAAAAAGAGTGGGCAAAAACATCCGTTCGGCAGTTAATTTCTTGAACTTTCATTTGGTGATCCGTTCTTCTTGATACGTAATTTGGAGCCTGCGTATACATACTTTTATCGATTCCGGTTTGGCCATTATAAATAGCGTAAAATAGCTTTACCCGTAAAAATGTTCTTCGTTGGCAAAGGAGACTCCAATTAAGTAAGCTTTTTAAGTTAGTGATGCTCGAACGAAAATCATAGTTACTGGTTACAAAACGAGCTGCACGTTCTGGATCCGTTTCACTTTATAAATTAAATTTTGAAAATGAGGGTCCCATATTGCGTATGCGTATTCCAAAATTGGTAGCACATTTGTTGTAGAGAGCGCCTCCTAGAGGGACACTGGCGCAGTTTTGAAATTGCGTTTTATAAAGTTTAGAACACCGCTTGATTTATTAGTCAAGTAGACTATGTGCTTATTCCATGTCAGATCAGATGAAAAGTATATACCTAAGTACTTGAAATTGCTAACGCGATCAAGAAGTGATGACTCAGATGAATAAATGAGGCTTACGCTTTCTGGTAAAACTAATAAAGCAACACTTTTTTTGTTCCAACTCATTTTCCACTTGTCACACCACGCTAAGACAAGATCCAAGTCATACTGGACGGCCGCAACATCTGATGCATTTTGGACACTACGATAAATGACACAGTCGTCTGCATAAAGCTTTATACTAGACGTTATTCTGTTTGTGGTATCGTTAATATAAACGAGAAAGAGCAATGGCCCCAAGACCGAACCTTGTGGGATTCCTGAGGTTACGTTGACGTAAGATGACATTACACCGTTAATAATGACACAGTTTTCTGTCTGATAAGTAATTCTCTAGCCACTCAAGAACATACGTAGGTAACCCCAGAAACGACAATTTATGTAAAAGAAGAACATGAAAAACTGCATCAAACGCTTTCTGAAAATCCAGAAATACAGAATCAACCTGTAAACCTTTGTCGTAAGAAGCCAAAATGTCGTAGGTGAACTCACTTAACTGGGTGACACAACAAAGGCGAGACCTAAAACCATGTTAGTGAGGTGTGAAAAATTTGTTAGCTTCAAGATGCTTCATAATGTTAGAATAAATGATATGTTCCAAGGTTTTACAGCATACACTGGTGAGTGAAATAGGCCAATAGTTCATGACACTGTCTTTAGCACCGGATTTGTGTATTGGAACAACATTGGCAGTCTTCCATTTACAAGGGAGTTCACGGGCTTCTAAGAACTTATTAAACAATATAACCAAAAAGGGGGTTAATGCACGGGCAAAATTCATAAGAACATGGTTAAAAAAACCGTCTGGTCCGGGCGCAGCCCCCGGATTCAGACCCTGAAGTAAAGAAAAAAACACCGTTTTCTGATATAACAATGTCGGGCATAACCTCAGAGATAGACTCCGCCGCGGCTGGCATAGCCCCGTTAAACGGTTGTGAAAAGACCGAATGAAAATACGCGTTGAAACATGTCGCCTTTTCGAGATCGTCAGAGACAGTGCCCTGTCCGTCAGAGATCGCGGGAATACCAACTTCGTCTTTTCTATTAGATTTTACATACTTCCACTCTTCCTTTGGATTACTCACCAATTTTTCTTTAAGGCGCGAAATAAAAAAAAAATTTAGTTTGCTTCATTCATTTGTATCTTGAAATAAGAGCCTATCCTCTCGAGCCGATCGCGTACGTCGCCATGCCGTGTTTTGCGGTAACGTTGGTACAGCCGACGTTTCTTATTGATAAGTGAGCGCAGCTCTTTATTTACCCAAGGTTTATCAACTCTACGTTTTCCAGTGATAATTTTGGACGGTACATGACGATCAACCAATTCAGCAAGCTCGCTCTTGAAGAGATTCCACAGACTGTTCATATTCATATGTAAGGATCATTCTTCAAACTCTGGGAGGATAGTAGATGGGTTATTCGGAGGCCTTCAAAATTTTCTCTGTCATAAAAGAATACTTTCCTCGAGAGCGGTTTTTTAATGTCAAGTGGTTCACAGCAAATGCTACCAACGGCTACCTCGTGATCACTAAACCCCGTAATTGTTGTAACAGAACGTACAAGCGTAGGGTGGTTGCTAAACACAAGATCTAGAGTAGATCCTCTTGTCCCGCCAAATCTTGGAGGAGCATTCACGAACTGATAAAGACTGTTTTCGATAATTAGGGATTCTAATGTCGTGTAAAGGTTAGATTTGCACCGTGTAACAGGAAGTTTATCTTGCCAGTCAATCTCGGGAAGATTAAAGTCACCACCTACGACGACGTAATCAGAGGTCAGCACTGACAAAGCATTGGATAACGCCTCGAGTGGCTTTGTATCACTGCCCCCAGGAGACCTGTAAAAGGAACCAACGGCTAGCTGTTTTGCATTTGCCAGTTCTATTCTGCACCAGACAGCTTCACAGGAGGGGTCATTGAAATTTAACGTAATACTTTTGATATGACGGCTGACAAGTACAGAAACGCCACCTCCATGAGCGTTGCGATCCCTCCGATAGACATTGTAATTGGAGGGAAATACCTCCGCGCCGCAAACAGTGCCATCCAACCACGACTCGGTACCTATAACTATGTCAGGATTAGTAACAGTAATGAGGTCGGTGAGCTCATCCGATTTATTCTTGAAACTGCGACAGTTTACAACAATAATATCAAGTTCTTGTGGCTTACTTTTGCGGTATTTGACCGGGGTGTTTGATTGCTATTGAATATTTTCGACGACACGATCCGTTGTTGTACCATAGGTAAACGTCTTTGTCCCCATGATAAGCCTATTAAAGCGTAGTTTAAATTTTTCATTATGTTCCTTAGCAAAGTCAAGAAGTTTCTTCCTTTCCGATCTTACACGTAACGAAAAGTCTTCGCTAAGAGACAAGCAACTGCCTTTCAGTTTGTGCGCGTTAGAAAGAATGTTATGCTTATCTTTGAATGAACAGAACTGAGCAACGATCGGCCTATTTTTGGCTGTAGAAAAACGACCAATTCTGTGAGCGCGTTCGATTGACGAAGGATCGACTTGAATCCCGAGACTTTCGCTACATAGCGATATGTAGCGAAAGAGACTTTCGCTACATAGAGACTTTCGCTACATAGCGATATGTAGCATCGTTCGGACTGATCCCACGTCTCGTTGACGGAATCTGGAAGCCCATAGAAAATCAGATTATTTCTTCGGGATCTATTTTCTAGATGATCCTGTCGCATCATGAGTGAACTAAGTTACGCAGTCACGGTTTCATTTTGTTCCTTAAAACGTCGTATCTCTCCGTCCATTTCCTTTAGAGACAGTAGCTGTTTTTCAATCCCACCAATACGAGCTGTAAGTGCAGCAAGCTTCCCTTCTGCGACCTGGGGTGCTATGTTGCGCTTTTTGGACTCCCAAGAGACTAGGGAGAAGGAACTGACGTCAACGACACAGCAAACGCAGATTGGGTGTTGATTTTGTTTTCTTCTGTCAACATCCAATGTGCGTTTGCTATGTCGTTGACGTCACTTCCTTCTCCATAGTCTCTTGGGAGTCCAAAAAGCGGAACATAGTACCCCAGCTGATTTTCTTTGATCTGCTTCAATTCCGAAAGTACCTTTGTCTGCCCCAGTTGTATCATCGGTGTAACACGGAGTGCATCAAGGAGCTCCTGTTGCTGCTCCGCCGTAAGCGGGCCGGGGTTTTCTTCTATGTCGCCAGACAGCATTAAGCGTTTTTTGATCAGGGATAAAACAACCCGAAATTTCAAAGAGAGCACTTCAACAACGCATTCAAAGGAACACTTCAAAAGGAACAGAAAGTTGGGTCCCGGTGCCGCGTCACAAGGTTGTGCGTAACGCACGACAGTGTCGTGGAAGTAAGGTTTACCAACCTGAAGAGCGAGAACCCGTAAGCATCCCGCCTTAATGACGGCACCGGAACCCATCCGTCGCTGGTAGAGCAAGCTCTTAAATAGTTCGTAGTCACATGATGTCGATCGCTGTTGCTTGAAGTGATGTTTGAAGGAAGCCGAGTCCGGGTGTAGCAGCGTCAAAACCATCGAAGAATGACTTGGCTGACAAGTTGAAATCGCCGGGCATCTTTTGTCGTACCATGACTCGTCAGACAAAAAGGGCGTGAACTCAGCGCCGCAAGAGACGGCTAGGGCCTGCATAAACTGAAGAGCGAGAACCCGTAAGCATCCCGTCTCCTTGGAGTGCAAAAAGCAGTACCCCTGCTAGCACTAGAGCCACTCTATATGCTAGCACCACTGTCACGTTTGCTGGCATTTGTGTCAGCGGGAGCACACGCTGAGCGCTGAACGAGCACGAGCGAGCAGCAGAAAGGAGGATATTGCCGCGCCCAGGGCTGAGAAAGCCACGCTCAGTCACGGACCTCCAGAAAGTTCTCGTTTATTCATGTACCGCATGTAACTTCTATCATTTATTCCTGCTTTTGTTTTCTAGAAAGTGCGTGTTCATTCCCGCCCGATCACGCGATGCTCGAGCCGCTTTCGCCGAATCTTCGAGATAGCGACGCACTCTAGATAAGAGGCCGCCCGCGACCTTGTCGAGTCAGTCTCGCCCCAGCGCTCGATTCTGCTGACACGCCGACTTCGACGCCCGCGACGCTCTGCTTTCTTCTGTTTCCTTCTTTATTTTTGGCACAAGTTCGCCACATTAAACGTTTATTTATTTCTGTTTATTTCTTGTTTATTGGTCACGACTCACCACCCGTGACATTCTGGTGGAGGTGCGGGGTACCGCATGTCCGTGCAGCGCAGCCCTCCGAGTTCCCGCAGTACAAGTCCAAACCCCAGCTCCGGAGGACCCGACGAAGACCAGATCGAGACCCGGTCAAGTCGCCGCATCCGAGGTCTACCCCCGGAACACGGACTTCTGCCACCCACGACCAAGCCGAAGACGACGATGGCCAACCAGGCGCAGACCCCGGCCGCTTCTGCCGTTGTGTACCTGCCGATCGCACCCAGGACTCCAACGCCTTTCCACGGAGACGTCCACGAGGACGTTGAAGACTGGCTGCAACACTACGAACGTGTAGCCCGCCACAACGGATGGACGACTGAACAATACCTCCACAATCTCTACTTCGCGCTTGAAGGAACTGCGAGGCATTGGTTTGAAAACCACGAAGCGTCCTTCACTACGTGGGAGTCCTGCGCCGCGGAGTTGAAGCGAACGTTCCTCAACCACCACCGTCGGCAGCGAGCGGAGGACCTTCTCCAAACAAGGGTGCAGGGCCCCAACGAAAGCGTGACCAGCTTCGTAGAGGATGTCATGCGCCTATCTGCCCGAGCCGATCCGGAGGCAGCCGATGAGAAGAAGCTCCGCGTCCTCATGCGTGGCGTGAAGGCTGAAATTTTTGGGGGCCTTGTCCGCCATCCCCCGACAACCGTCGACGGTTTTGTGGCTGAAGCCACTAACATCGAGCGAGCGCTGTCGGCCCGAGCAAGCCATTACCATCGACTCGCCGGCGTGCCTGCTCCTCGAACCGCCGCATCTTGCCGACTAGACCTGAACGCCATCGGTGTCGACGGCCTTCGGGAAATCGTCCGCGACATCGTCCGGGAGGAGCTCCGGAAGCTGCTGCCTGCTGCCAACCAGCCGGCTGAGCTGTCGATCGCCGAAGTGGTGCGCGAAGAAGTCCAGCGGGCAATTCAACCGGAGGCTCCTGCCTGCGTAGCACCACCCGAAGAGCCCGCCCTGACCTACGCCGCAGTGGCCCGACGGCCACCGCCTCCTCGCCGCACCTATGTCACGCCGCCCCGACGTCAGTCTCCTGCGCCGCAGCACGACCGACGCCACGACGACCAGGTCCAGTACGCCTGCCCGGAGCCTCGCGCACCCCGCAAGACCGACCTGTGGCGAACGCCCGACCGACGCCCTCTGTGCTTCCATTGCGGGGAAGCGGACCACACCTACCGCCGATGCCCATACCGACGACTCGGGCTACGCGGGTTCCACCCGAACGACCCGCGCCCCCGTCATGGTGAACGCCCTATCGAGATCGACGAGTACCTGCGACGACCTCAGTCCCCCGAGCCTGCGTCCCGCCGAGAGTTCCGGTCGCCGTCACCGCGACGTCCAGCTTCGCCGATGCACCGACCGCGACGTGAAAGCCTGTCCCCCCTCGCTCCTCGCCGGGGAAACTAGGCGCGGCAACCCCTGGAGGTGGAGTTGCCGAAGACGACCGACGCCAAGATCCTCCACGAACGTCGGGGGGCCCCCACTCGAACGCCACCAAAGACCAAAACGACGCCGCTGCAGTGGTGTCCAATACCCTAAACGTCGTCATCGACGGCCACGACGCATCCGCACTCGTGGACACCGGAGCAGACTACTCAGTCTTGAGTGGGAGGCTCTCCCGCCGCCTTCGAAAAGTCATGACGCCGTGGGATGGACCACAAATAAGAACCGCCGGAGGACACCTCATTACACCAGTCGGGAGATGCACCGCTCGCGTCGAGATTCACGGCGAAACATGCCCTGTGAAGTTCGTCGTTCTGCAAGACTGTTCGAGGGACGTCATTCTCGGAATGGACTTCCTGTGTGAATACGGCGCCATCATCGACCTTGCGGAGAACAAGCTGACGCTTCGGAAGCCTGCCCCATCGGTTGAAAATACCAAACCGACGTTAGCTGCAGTGCGAGTCCTCGCCAGCCACGTAAACCTGCCGCCGCTGTCGAGTGTCTTTGTGCCCGTCGGGACCGAAGGAGCCACCTGCGGTGTAGCACTGCTGGAAGGAAGCGTCCAACTTCTCCTCGGACGAGGGATTGGCATTGCAAGAGCCGTAACCGAGCTCCAGGACGGGCGTGCATTAGCCCTTGTCACCAATTTCCGGCACGAGTCGCAGCACCTTACAAAGGGTACAACTGTGGGCTACGTCGAGGAAATCGAAGACTCAGCCGCGATCGCCGTGATCTCAGAAGACGCCTCTCCGACGCAGAACAAGACAATCACGTCCTCAGAGCTCGACATCGACTCATCCCTCCCAGCCCCACAACGACGACAACTTCGTGACCTTCTCGACGAGTTCAGTGAGTGCTTCTCCACGTCGTCGAAAGTGCGCCAAACGACGGTTGCGAAACATCGGATAATTACTGATGACGACGCACTCCCTGTGCATCGGCCGCCGTACAGGGTCTCCGTGAAAGAAAGGGAAGCCATCCAGCAGCAGGTACAAGAAATGCTTGACGACGACATTATCCAGCCCTCAAGCAGTCCGTGGGCTTCACCGGTAGTCCTGGTGAAAAAGAAAGACGGGACTCTTCGGTTCTGCGTGGACTATCGCCGACTGAACGCCGTTACAAAAAAGGACGTCTACCCACTGCCACGCATCGACGACACCCTGGACCGACTACGCCACGCCCGATACTTTTCGTCGATGGACTTGAAGAGCGGGTACTGGCAGATTGAGGTCGACGAACGAGATCGTGAGAAGACGGCCTTCGTCACGCCGGACGGACTGTATGAGTTTAAAGTAATGCCATTCGGGCTGTGCACAGCGCCGGCAACCTTCCAGCGCGTTATGGACACCGTCCTTGCCGGCTTGAAATGGCAAAGCTGTCTCGTCTACCTCGACGATGTTGTGGTCTTCGCAAGCGAATTCGACGAGCACCTGAGACGACTGCGAGCCGTTCTACAGGCCTTCAAAGCTGCTGGGCTGACCCTCAAGCCTTCCAAGTGTCGGTTCGCCTATGGTGAGCTCAAATTCTTGGGCCACGTCGTGAGTGCTCAGGGCGTAAGCCCTGATCCCGCCAAGACGTCCGCTGTCGCCGAGTTCCCGAAGCCATCGGACAAGAAGACCGTTCGAAGATTCCTTGGGCTGTGCGCCTATTACAGACGTTTCGTTCGTGATTTCGCGCAAATTTCTGCACCGCTGACGCATCTGACGAAAGACGACGTGCAGTTCCAGTGGGGAGAGGAGCAAGAGCAAGCGTTCGACGAACTCAAGCGAAGGCTCCAGTCGCCCCCTATCCTCGGACATTTTGACCAGTCGGCGGAGACTGAAATCCACACGGACGCCAGCAATACCGGTCTCGGTGCGGTACTCGTTCAGCGACAAGAAGGGGCAGAGAGAGTAATCGCTTACGCAAGCCGGGCGCTGTCTAAGGCAGAACAGAATTATTCAACGACCGACAAAGAATGTCTTGCTGTCGTCTGGGCGATAACCAAGTTCCGCCCGTACTTGTACGGGATCCCGTTTCGCGTGGTCACAGACCACCACGCCCTCTGCTGGCTCGCAAACCTCAAGGATCCGTCCGGACGCCTCGCCCGCTGGAGCCTTCGACTGCAGGAATTCGACGTAACCATTGTGCATAAGTCCGGCCGCAAGCATAATGACGCTGACTGTTTGTCTAGGGCTCCAGTCGAACCTCCAATCTCCGGCGCGGACGACGATGACGACGCCCGTTTTCTAGGCGCAGTTGACGCTACCGACATGAGGGCACTGCAACGCGACGACGCGGAACTTAGCTCCGTGATCGACACCCTCGAAGGTCGAGGAGGCTCTGTCCCACGGGTCTTTTCTCGGGACCTACCGAGCTTTGTCCTGCGGCGAGGCGTGCTCTTCAGAAAGAATTTCGGAACCAGCGAAACCCCCTGGCTACTGGTTGTCCCCGCCAGTCTCCGAGAAGAAATTTTTCAAGCGTGCCACGACGACCCAACGGCCGGACATCTCGGCTACAGCAGGACCCTTGCCCGGATTCGTGACAAGTACTACTGGCCAAAGCTTCCGAAGACCGTCCATCTCTACACACGATCGTGCCATGAGTGCCAGCGACGCAAGAAACCACCGTCAAAGCCAGCAGGTCTCCTTCAGCCGATTACCCCGCCAACCAAGCCCTTCCAGCAAATTGGAATGGATTTGCTGGGTCCTTTTCCACCGTCGACGATGGGGAACCGCTGGATAATCGTCGCCACCGATTATCTTACTGGTTACGCCGAGACGAAAGCCCTTCCTTCGGGGACTGCTGTCGAAGTCGCCAAGTTCTTCATCGAGTCCATCGTCCTCCGCCATGGCGCCCCCGAAGTACTGATCACAGACCGAGGGTCATCGTTTATGGTACAGTTGACCCAAGAGATCCTGCGTCTAAGCCACACGGAACACCGTCGAACAACGGCATACCATCCGCAGACGAACGGGTTGACGGAGCGGCTCAACAAAACAATCGCCGACATGGTCTCTATGTACGTCGACGTGGAGCACAAGACCTGGGACGAAGTGCTGCCCTACGTCACGTTCGCCTACAACACAGCAGTGCAAGAGACCACAGGAGTGACGCCCTTCCAGCTGGTGTATGGCCGGAAGGTGACGACTATGCTAGACTCTATGTTGCCGCACGATCCAGTCGACGACGGAAGCGATGACGCCCAGGTGGTTGCTCAACGGGCAGAAGAGGTCCGCCAACTGGCAAGAGTGCGAATTCAAGACCAGCAACATGTCGACGCCGGCCGATACAATCTTCGCCGGCGTGACGCCCACTATCAACCCGGAGACCGGGTATGGGTGTGGACACCAATACGGCGCCGCGGTCTCAGCGAGAAGCTTCTCAAGCGCTACTTTGGACCCTACAAGGTGCTTCGCCGTCTCGGGGACTTAAACTACGAAGTCCTTCCCGACGGAACCCGCCCATCTGCAAGACGTCAGCCGCGACCCGAGGTTGTGCACGTCGTCCGGCTGAAGCCGTATTACGAACGATAGGACTCTCCACTCTCGTCGACGAGTGAACTGTGGACTGTGAACTCCGGCTAGCAATTCTGCTGTCCTTTTGTTTTTTTTGTTTTCCGTTTTTGTGCTGCATCGGGACGATGCACTTTTAAAAGGGGGGATAATGCCGCGCCCAGGGCTGAGAAAGCCACGCTCAGTCACGGACCTCCAGAAAGTTCTCGTTTATTCATGTACCGCATGTAACTTCTATCATTTATTCCTGCTTTTGTTTTCTAGAAAGTGCGTGTTCATTCCCGCCCGATCACGCGATGCTCGAGCCGCTTTCGCCGAATCTTCGAGATAGCGACGCACTCTAGATAAGAGGCCGCCCGCGACCTTGTCGAGTCAGTCTCGCCCCAGCGCTCGATTCTGCTGACACGCCGACTTCAACGCCCGCGACGCTCTGCTTTCTTCTGTTTCCTTCTTTATTTTTGGCACAAGTTCGCCACATTAAACGTTTATTTATTTCTGTTTATTTCTTGTTTATTGGTCACGACTCACCACCCGTGACAATATTAAAAGCCCGTTCACACGATGCATTTTTCTCGCGCATCTATAGTGTCGCGAAACGTAGTTTCGCGAAATGATTGCGCCGTCTGAACGAGTCTGAAAAGGACGCGCGCATCTAAAAAAAGTTGCGCGCACATCTCGCTTCTGGTGCGAGCTTTTGCTGAATCTTTGCCGAGTCCTGTCAATCCAGAGCCGTTTATACTGCTCTGTGTCAATCAATCTGAGGGCGCCGCCAATGGCCGCTCAGAAGCACTCTCACGTGGCCTTTGAGGGGGGAGCGAACTGTTTGAGAAGACTACTTCACTTCCGGTGTTGTAGCCGAGCCAAATCCGAAAAAAACCGAAACCACGAACGATGGATACTGCCGGCGTTTCCGCAAGCACGTCAAGCACCACTGAAGGAAAAGTGAGTAGCATATCGGAAAAAAATCCAGCGATGGAGGAAGACGTAATTGGTGATGATGATAATTCGCGTCTATTTTTAGTCATAATTAAGAAATAAAACCTTGAGACAAGGAAACAAAAAGGGACGTACACAGTACCATCTCAAAACCAGCACAGCGTGCAGCTCTCATTTACTTCCACAAGCCTTCTTCTTTGTCAACCTCCATACAAATTATATATATTCAACAGTAAAAAAAGTAAATGGCAGTAAATGACAATTCAACAACTAGTAAATGACAATTTAAGAGTAAATTAAGTAAATGGAAATAAATGACAGCTGTATGCTGTGCTGGTTTTAAGACGGTGGTGTGTAAGTCCCTTTTTGTTTCCTTCTCTTAAGGTTTTATTTCTTAATTATGATTGTTCACCAGCTCGCCTGCGTTTTGACTCTTAGAATGTGGCGGGAGATGGAGAACACGACGCTGAATGGCTAATGCTGATGATGATGATTTTGCCTTTCAACTGAAGCGCCACTTTATGATCAACACCCAAACTATTTTCGCGATTCTAAACGTCATCGTTGTTGCACGTGAAACGATGCGTGTGAACGAGCACATTTCGCGAAACCTGAGTGTCGCGAAACTGTTGCGCGCCTAAAAGATGCATCGTGTGAACCGACCTTAAACGTCATCGTTGTTGCACGTGAAGCGGTACGTGTGAACGAGCACATTTCGCGAAACTTGACTGTCGCGAAACTGTTGCGCGCCTGAAAGATGCATCCCGTGAACAGACCTTAAGAACAGAGGAGGAACATCACTGCTACGAGCCTGTTGTCTCGCAACACGGATGAGTGCCGCCATCTAGTGGTTGAACTAATGGCTTGTTCAAGATGGCCGCCGTGGGGCCGCCGTGGGACCGCCACGCGCGAACAAAATGCCGCCTATTGCTAAGCGATCCCACGCCAAGGCGGGGAGCGTTTGTGTAGCCCGAGCAAAACCTCATCCACCCCCCTGGGATGTCTACGACCCCCCCCCCCCCCCCCGCGCGGCTCCATGCAAAAGCATAAAGGTTTTTACCACGGGATGCGCGTGGTATCTGAATACCCCTTCAACCTCTACTATTAGGGGCGAAGCTCATTAGGGGCTAGCCATGTCCGTATGTCCGTCCGCCGTCCGGCGTGCCCCTGCTCGTGAGCTCACGAGACGAGCAGAAGCTCACGAGCTCCTGCTCGTGAGTTCAGCAACAAAAGCAAAAAAAAAAAAGAAATAAACAAAAAAAAAAAAAAGAAAAAGAAGAAAAAAAAATAGGGGGCTCTGAGATGCCATCTCATCTGTCTTCTTAAAAAAAAAGAATACCAAAACCACATATTCTTCTACTGACATGAATGAAAACGGCAGCATCAGCACTACCTATGACCAAAATCAGTTACAAGAAAAAGGAAAAAAAAAAAAAAGAGTAGGGGGTTCTGAGTTGCCATCCCAACTGTTTTCTTACAAAAAGAAAAAGAAGAAAACCACACATTCTTTTACTGACTTAATGAAAACGGCACTATCAGCTTTACCTATGACCAAAATCAGTATCAAGAAAAAGAAGAAGAAAAAAAAAGAAGAGTAGGGGGTTCTGAGTTGCCATCCCATCTGTC